AGATAATTTATCTATATTGTTTTCATATATATACACACATCCATATATATGTGTGTATATACATATGCTTGGTATACCCTCATTCTTTTCCAGTTCTATTCCTTCATTATATTTGCTTCTACTCATATCAAATAGTAACCATATATACACCTTCAAAAAGGTAAACTAATTTGACTGCTTAGGTTTCAGTCAGTAAGATAAAGCTATTAAAAAATGAGGTTATAAGTGAACCGAAGATACAAATACTCTCATGTTTTCAAGGCTACAAGTGACATTTGCAGACAGCTTTCATTTCTGTTTCAGTTTGCTGGGGGAAAGCACCTCTCACTGCAGGTGTTAAGAGTTTCAACCATTATTATAAAGTTATTATTTTAGTATCTATTTTTGAGTCCAGTCATGCCACGTGGTACTTATCTTTTGTAATGCAAGTGAGCTGATTGAAGAAACTGAAAACAGATTCACTTTTAAATTCCATGAAATAAGTGGAAACAGGACTATATCTATTTCGGGTTATCATATTAACATTTCATTTATGGAATCAAAATCTTGCAGGGTGCATTCAAAATCCACATGATGTCTTGAGTGCTAAAGTTTTCAAGAGGATCTGTACATTAGCAAATAAATAGGCAATGTAAGAATACAAGTTTGGCCACAAATGTAGCAGCTAGTAACACATAAAGACTCACCTAACAGTAAAAAGAGAAACTGATTTGGCTTTAAAAGACTTTCAGACAACAGTAGTTTGTTCATCACTGTACCAAAATAAATTTAAAAAAAAAAAAAAAAAAAAAAAAAAGAGGGGGGGGGATTTCTTTGACGTAACTCCAACCCTCCAAGATATACAAAATTAAGCTGAGAGGTATGAGGGACCAGATGGCAATTTTCTATAATATCTGGAGCCTAGCAGAATTCAAGTTGCATATTGTCTGCTGCAAATAAATATTATTGTCTTAAGTATTTGCACTACAGTAACTACTGTACACTTCTACATACCAAAGTAAACAGCATCAACCTCACAGTAATCACCCCAAACATTCTCACCAGCCTTTCCCATAAAAAGGCTCGACTTACTGTTGATAATCACAGCACTGAATGTTTGGCTGTTGAAGCAAGTATAACCTGTGTAACAGACAAGTCCTGGTATAACAGACAAGTCATAAAAATTTGTAAAAGAGTAGTAAGCTGAGCAGAGGAGGAATATCCTCCCTATCCACGACAAAGTGCACACTTCACACATCCCTGGGATCAGAGGAAAAATGCCAGGGCTTACCTTTACAAACGTCAAAGGCATTTCCAAAAAAACCCCCCAAAAAACCAAACACCACTACCCCCCCTCCCCCCCCACCCCCCAAAAAAAACCAGCAACCAACAAAGAGAGAGAGACACCTGTGGGTGTCTCCTGTTGTCAGAAGTACAGTCAGAGGTAGATCAGAGGTATTGCTGAAGGAGGGTGAATATCAGTAACAAGCACTATGCACAGATTAACAGGCTTACAGAAAAAACGTGCCAAAATCAGACTGTGTTGAGAAGTATGTCAGCTCTTCCATTCTTTTAGTGGAATTTCTCTCCGTACCAATTTGTGTTGTTCTCCACTACTTTAATTTCACTGAGAAAGTATCGGTTGATTACCAATAAACAACAGTCAAAACATAAAGGAAGTTTTGTTTCCTGTTTCCGTTACGCCCTCTCTCCTCCCAAAGCAGTAACGATATGGCAGCATAAAAGCATCAAATACCATCTTACTTTCTTTGGGATTTATCACATGGTTGTTCAGTAGTACAGAAGGCAATTTACCCAATCTGTTCTTTCTGCAATTTACATTGCTATATGGAGAAATCTTTAAGGAAATTTAAAGCTAATGTTGCCTTCCATTTTCTCTTCATGCAATCCCCATACTCCACTTCTCACATTCTTCCTTCCATGTAAACATTTTTCTAAAAATCAGACTTAAAATTGACAGCCTCAGATGGAGTCCATGTATTATGCAGTTCTTCCAAGATCAAACAAATCAAATGTTCTATAAGTTGCATTTTCTCACTTTAACACAGGTATTCCTTGTTAGACTAGATTCATTTCCATGCATTACATCTTGTCCAGCACTCTGCTCTTCAAATGTAACTAAAACATCTCCAGGTTGACCATTAGCCTCAGACATGGTCGCAGATATTGACATCAATGTTCATTAAGTGTTTTGAACCGCAAAGTTTGCCAAACTGCATTGGCTAGAGCAGTTCACATGCTTCTGTGGCGATAGCAAAGCTTTCTCCTACAAGAGTTTCACTGTATCTGTACAGCCACAGAGCATCTTCCATCTGCATTTTAGTTTGCAATGTCTGCTGGTCCTGGCAAACACACACATATGTCCTTAAACTTCCTGGGATTGCACTAAGGTTTGGCTGGTTTCTTGTTTTTCCAATCTCTCACCGTAACTTTCCTCCTCTACCACTACCAAACTGCAGGCACTTGTTCATCGCACTTCTTCCAACTGTACAAGCTTGCTGTAGCCCCAGTCCTCTTCTCACTTTACATGCATGCTAGGAAAAACAAGAGGCTGCTAAAAGAAACGCCAATTTTTTCACCCTCCCAGTAAGCAGCCTAGCACTGGTGACGTTGCTTCAAAGAGTGCCCCTACCTTGACTGTCAGCCAGAATTTAGCTGAGCAACGTACATTTTTCCCAGTTCTGCCAACCAGGTAGAAAAGCGTTGAATTAAGTTTTCAAACACTCAGTAAGAATTCCGGTTGGGATCAGGAGCAAGATCTATGTGCCTTAAATCTTAGTCACCTATTCAATGCCAATACTCTTCAAAAAGAAGCTGTTCTATACACGTAACATGACAATAGATGAGACAGGTAACAGGTAAGCATCAGCTAATCGAGAACAACATCTCATCTCATTTCTGATTTACCATCTGCCATCAAGCTCCACTTTGAAATTTCAGAGGCAAGCAATGATGCAGGTGGAAGGTGAACAGTGCCACATGCCACAGAAACAGTGAGGTGTAACATTTTACAGTATCTAGTAGCACAAGATGAAATAGCTGTTAAGTAACAGGCAGTCTCTGCCAGGAAGAAAGCCACAGAATGCCTCCTGCACGGAAAATTGAAAGGGATGGTCTGAAAGCGTACTTGAAACACCTAGAAGAATCACAGCATTGAAAGCTATCCTGTACTCAGATTGACCAAGGAATTGTAGTAAAATCCCAACTTTTTCCTCTCAGTGAGGGAGATCTCAGCTGACATCCGCAAACTCAGAATCACCCATGAAGACTGACATGACTACACTGAACAAGATCGATGGAAAATTCTTTCACTGTAAAACCCTGGAGTCACTTCTCGCACTTAGCTCCCCTAAGCTTTCTAATACAGTCTGCCATCTTATGCATCACAAGTGAGATGAAAACAGTTTCTCAAAGTATGCAGCCTGACCAGCCTTGCAGCTGACAAGCTCGCAGAGCCACAATGGAAGGGAACTCATTTTTCTCCATCAGTGAATATCCTCAGCCACAGGGTAGATTATAGAGTGTTAAACCTAGTATCAGATCTACCCAGAAAGGAAGGAGATAGGAAAGAAATGCAAATGTACCCAAACCTGCTATATCAAAACCACTGTCCAACCATTTCATCCCTCAAATAACTACCTTATAAACATACCCATCTGTTTCAAAACTGAAGTAAACACATTTAAATAAATTTTAAAGGGTAAGAGGAGCTTTATTTACCTACTTCCCCTGAAAAGAAGTGACCCCTTCAGCAGAAATCGAACTAATATTGTTATTGTAATCCATCAAGCATTCCTTGTTCTGCAAAAACAAAGCTGCTGTACATAAAATACATGGCTTGTCAACTACGTAGCAGCACAATGTATTTTAGTAGCTTGCGGGTTTTCTCATATGTTCAAATTTTCCACCTCACAGCATTAAATTTAATTACATAACAACGAACTTCTGCCCTTACGTAACTTGTTGGCCTACAGTTGTTGCAGCTATCTGCTGGGTATAATGAAATTTTACAAATGCTTTTAAAAAAAGACAGAATGTGTCATATAACAGTATTAGACCTTAGGAAAAAAAAAAAAAGGTCTTGAATTTTGCCACATCAGTATAGAAAAGGCAAAAAAGAGGGAAAATCTTTGAGGAAAGCTGTGCTTGCTGATGCAGCACAAACTACTGGGAACAGATACCTCATGTATTGTTCAGACAAACAATTCTGCATCATTTTCACTATTTTTCAAGTTTTGCAACTACAATCTCTTAAACAAGAACAGATTATTTTCCTGAAGCCTCTACACTTAAGTTTCAGATTTAACTTAATTTTTTTTTCCCCCCAAACTCTGCATGGAAAAGAGAAGAAAACGGAAAAAAGCCTCTTATGTTTTCTACATTACAAGCACAACAAGCTTTTACTCTCCTTGACTGACTTTTCATAGTATTAGAAATACTGAAAGATAGAAATGAATACCTTACATTTCAGTCACATTTACGTACGTATACCCATTAGTGGAAAATCAAAAACTTGCAGAAATCAGAACGTAGCAAGTGACTTTGTTTTTCAGATCCAGTCAAAAAAAATCCTGTACCTCATATAGATTATCATGTCACAGTCAGCACAGACCAGAAGAGCAAAGCCTGTAATCGATTCAGTGAAGCTTCCAGCAATACTAATAAACTGTTAACTTGAAACAATGCTGACCTCTAACCACTCAGCAACCCCTATCTCAGAGAGGCCTGATTTGAATTTGTGCTTCCTTCCAACTAAAACAAAAAATAAACCCAAAACCAACAACAAAAAAACCCCACCAAACCAAAACCAACTTACAGCGCTTTTAAGCTGTGAATCTTAAGAGTTACTTCCATACTTATTGCTTAACGTAATAAAATTAGTTAGAATTGCTCTAATCTCCAACTAGGGAAAAAATCCTGAAATCTCAGTAAACAAAAATTTGTTCTATTCCATTAAGTGCATTTATGCAGAAAGATAACAATGTCATCTTGATGCTTACCCAATCATTGTGTCTTCTTTAATCTGGCCATTTACCATTGGCTCTTGATTTCTGTTTTCCTTCTCTGAAGCATCACTTGAGAGGCCCAATAACGCTCGTACTCGCTTTGACTTCACATCCAATATCGTGTCAGTGTAGCCCACTTCTTGTAGATACCTGTAGGAACAGAACTTACGCTAATCTTCCATGTGCCTCTCACTTATTCAAAACAGTATGTGAAAACTTCTCCCTAAACTCATCTTCAACCCCTTAAATTAGCAAAGTATGGTGCTGTGCTAATGAAACATGCTTATAAATCATCCTGTACCAGCTGCAGAGGGATCGCCTCTTGCAGTACCAGCCTCTACAGTCACTGGGGGGCAGGGGGGGGAAGCGGAATCAAAGAGCCTAGCAGTCAGAGGTTATACAATACTTTATTCATTCATTTACTAAAATGGATGGAAAGGCACTTACAATTAAAATATTCACAACTGGCTTAAAATCACCAGAGTTGCATGTACAACATGGCCATTTTATTCTTCAACACATGGAAACTACACATGAAGTCTTACAAGAAGTATCAGATGTGTTCGTTATGTATGTTTTCCCTCCAGAAAACAGACGGAATAAAAACCAAATTCTGTAGATGTAGCTACTAGTAAGAGTTGTTACAAATAACGCCCTAGGTTTGATAAAATCTTTGTCTTGCCTTTTCCTTATTCTGCAATGGATCTGCAAAATATTAATTTGTCTTGCATATAAGGGCTGGACAGCAAGAATCCTGGACTAGCTTGTATGAGAAACTCAAGGTCTGAAGTTGGCTCTTTCATTAATATGCCATATTGCCTTTAGGGGAAGCAGGGGGGAAATAATGATATTTTAAAAGAAAAAAAAAAAAAGTAAAAATTGGTCTATTGGTCTCTGTCCTTTCCTCTAGAATACAGAGTTAATAGCACTGTCTTCTCAGGAGCACTGGACTGATTAAATGTTCAATATTCTAGATGACTCTAAAGAGGGGAAATGCTATTTTATAATAACAGCTATTACAAATCAAGGACATGCACTTTTCCTGCAAGAACATTCTCCTCCAATTATTTAACAATATCCTCCACATAACCACATTAGGAGAGAAATGTTCAATTTTTATATAGCCAACAATGAGTAAGTCACCTATGCAAAACAGAGCCCGTCAGTAATATGCATTCTGTATTCAGCACTGTGTCACTTATTTATGAATTGCGCTGAGAAGGAATGACTTGTCTTCAAAATCACTGATCCAAGTCAAGACCACTTTATTTACATTTATTCAACATACATGCAAAGATATGAGCTCTTGTAAAAGAAAAGCATGTACACACCATCCAACAGACAAACTGAACTTTTGTATAATTCCTTGGAAAAAGGCCCTTTACATTAAAGGCTCTAGACTGTCCTTACTGTCTCCCTCCCCTCTCATTTATTCCTCTGTAACGCACCAAAAAAAAAAAAAACCAAACCAGAAAGCAAAAGCTTTGCTAGCTGATTAGAAGACCTTAGAATCTAACTATCAGCATAGGGGATGAGGCAAATGCATGAAAAAAAGAGACAGAAACACTCTGATGAGAGGTCTTTAAGAGACCTCTTCAATTTAAACCAAGGGTTGTAACCAAAGCAAGAAAACCACACAAAAATGTGACCAAATATCTTGGAAATTAATTAACTCATTATGACCACAATTCAAAAACTAATTTAGATTAACAGACATTTGCTTCACTGAGATGAACTGAGAATTAGAAAAATTCTAGTCTAGCCTTTTGGATATTAGTCTTTTCTGCACTTTCAGCAGGCCAAAATAAAAGTAATCCCTCTCCAACGCCAGTTTTTTTTATTTTACATAGCTCTTAACAGAATTACTTGTGTGTGTTGTTTTTTAATTGCAAAAAGAATTGCAAGGTGTCATGACCCACTGTTTTCCCAAGCAGATTGTTTTATTATACTCAGTGAAAGACAAGCAAAGGAGATTAGGTTTGTTATTTGTCAAGGCTTCTCATCTGAAGTTCTGAAATACTAAAATTTTTCAAAAACTTTGGAAAAGTAGGGCAGAAGATGAATGAAATTCATCACACACACTAACTTTTCTTGAAAGAAAAAAAAAAAATCAAATACCACCATCATCACATTTCATTACCAGATTCATTCCCTTGCATTTATTATTCGAGTCCTTTTTTCAACACTTACTGTCTTAGCAGCTGTCGTCCTTGTTTCCATATTAGCTGACTGTTCTGTTGTGGCTGAATCTCTGTCTCATTCCCTTCATCTGGAAAAGATTATTTAATTATGAACATTTTTTTCCTTGTCCTACTTTTTAAAAAGCTGCCCATCCATTTGAAAAGACAAATGTGATTTGTCTTAAAATGATTAGGAATGGTTTAATAACAAAAGAAAAGATTCAAAGTGCCAATAATCAACCAAGAGAGAAAAGAATGCACATAGCACATAATTGCAGTACTACGTACACATGAAGATTGTCAGGTACATCCTGCTGTATGAGAGCAAGTTCCACTACTCTTAAGTGCCTTCCCTTCCGTCTCACACCCAAAAGGCCCATCTTACTCCTTTTTAAGGGCACATAACGACATAGACAATACGAGTTCCATCTTTGCATTAACCTTCCAATATAATTGCTGATCATAATTTAATTTTGAATACAAACATCTTTAACTGCTAACAATATCAAATGCAACTGCAGCATGATATCTATTTACAACTTACTATCCAACCAATTTCCTTAATATTTGACCGTTTGACATAAAACCAACAGACCTACTCATATCAACTTTAAATTCATCCATATTTGTATTAGTTTTGTGGAAGGAAAAACAAGATACAACAGAGGTTGTTTGTTTATTTTTTAACCTGAAAAGCTGTTGAAAAATTTTCACCACATTTTCCACAACCATAAATTTGTATCTAAACAGTACTACTCCAGGAAAATCCACAAATAAATTATGTGGCTGTTCTGGTGAGAAACCGATCTGAATGCTGGCAACCAACAGCTACACATTTATTCCATATATAGCTTCATACTATATGATGGGGGGGGGGGGTATCCCCTCCTCCAGGAAATACATAAGTATATGCTTCCCAAGATAAAAGATCTTGGTTTATTATCCATGAAAGCCTCTACAAAACTTGAAACCCTTGTGGTCCAAAGACTGAAAGATGAACAATCTCCTTGTGTAAACAAAAATTAAGAACCAGAAAAACCTGTGGTACAGTCCTATGAGTAACTTGATATGTGACATGGGAAAGCTATTGTCCTTACTGGGAGGTCATTTACCTTTAAACAACTGAGTTAACACCACACACAAAAAAACCCACCACCCACCCAAAGAAGCTATCAAAGACTAATCAGAATTCACATGCAAGGAGAGCCATATGAATTTTATCCATCTCAGATTCACAAATCCATTTAACAGTAACCATAGGAAATAAGCAATAGCACAATGACTTTCTGATGACAACTGAACACAGCTGAACCCAATGCACAACTACCAAAGCTCAGTCTATAAGAATTAAAACATGACTGAGATAAATCTGCCTGAAAATTCCTCTTGAAAGCAAAACCTCTTCTTCTGAAGGCACTATTAAGTATATCTACAGGCAAGAATTCTCTTTTCCTTAGAGATCATAAAGAAAACAAACAAAAAGGACCCATTTGGAAGAACTACTAGAAACACTTCCATGTTTTTTCCGGACTAGGCAGGAGAAACAGGGGGCGGGGAGGAAAGACACAGACATCTATCAAAGACAACTCCAAAGGAGCATCATAACAAAGTTTCTGTTTTAAGTGCGTATCTTCAATCAGCCCAGATTTGATACAGAAAAAAAGTGTACATTTCTGACAGCTACATACATAGAATGCAATGGGATAAACCAGGATAATGGAATTTTAACAAAGATAATTCCACTAATGTTCGCTTTGCAGAAGTAATGCACTCGCTACGGCTCTGCTGCGCAAGCCAGGCCTTGCACTACATTCCTCAGCTAGAAACTGGAGCAACGTGCTATAGCTGCATTCTGAGAAATTACAAAAACCAAGGATGCCTAGGATCTTGATATGATCAGGACAAAGTTTTCTAGTGGTCCAGATACAGATTGGGATCTTCCACTTAGTAACACCAAATTAAACTATTTCTTCAGCTAAGGAAATAACCTTAATAATAATGTGAAATAAAATTTTTCAAAAATTCTATCTTGTACAAGAAAATCCTGGTGTAAAGTTTCATCAGTTGGTGTGGGGTTGGATTTTTTGTTTGTTTGTGGTTTTTTAATGACATTCTGAATCCAATGAGATAATTAACCATGGCAATAAACCAGACCATTCCTTCCACAAACCAAGTGACAGAGCTGAGGTCTGCAGACTTTCTATATTCTTCCTTTGTGTACAGGTGGTTCTAGTTTCATTGGTGTAGTAGGAACAGCAGGGTACTGAGATAAAAAAATCACCACCCATTACTTCTCCTTTCAAGGGCTTGACCTATAACTAGATCTCTCTACCCCTCCTTTTTTTTTCCTAAGGAAGTGATAGGAAGATAGAGAGAGGAATGAAAGGAAGTAATTTAAATTCTTAATTCCTCAAGTTCAGTCCTTAAAGCTATTTGTGTGAAGTAGGAGATGCAATCTCTAGAAAAACAAATCAACTTTCCAGAGACCAAGGTGAAAAACTGTCCTCTCACAGCACAGCACTGAAGTTAGTTGCATATATTTCCAATGACTGTTGTAATTTTATAAATAAATTCCCCACTCAAACTCTTACTTATGTCTAATATGCATTTTCCTTATTTTTCTCCTGGAATATGACTGAAGTAATTGAACAAAAAATTATGTACTACATATTTCATGGCCTTTGCCATTAACTTTTTATTCAGAAGAATTATTCAAAGACAAAAGGATTCTATAGCTATAAATGTAGTATCTCCCTGTTCCAAAATATCCATACACGTTACTAAGGAAGAGAAAAATTATCATCTCCTGGAGCAGTTTATTGGTTTGGGTTTCTCAATATCTAAACTCATTTGATTTATTAACAGACTCTTTCAGAGCATTAGCATACATTTTTAATTTTACAAGAGTAAAATACAGTCTTTATTAATAATTTATTAATAATTATATCTCTATTCCCACTGCTTCCATTAAGTGCCTTATTTTATCAACACTATCACTTCAACATTTACACAAACCACAGTTAAGCTTTTATGCCAGTAGTGAACTCATTCTTAATAAATTCTTACCAGAATCATAGTTTGGTGGCTTCATATCTCCCTGATTCAATTCTGTGCCATATTTTAATTTGTGATATTTAGCCCTGAAAGGAGAAAGAAAAAAAACAAACTATTAGCACATTTAAAGGGTATCTCTATACACATAAATATCACCTGTCTTCACTTGAAAAGCCACTCCTTTCTTCTAGGCTAGAAACAAAACAAATAATTTCAGCACGA